GCTTCTGAATGGAGCAAGGGTTTGAGTTGGGAGAGTAACAGGTTCTAATCTCATCTCTATCACTGCCTTGATAGACGGCCTTGGCAAGCTGTTTATCTTTTGCCTCGGTTTCCCCATTGGTGTAATAGGGGGATGCTTGCCGATCTGTGTGAAGCCTGGAGATCACTGGATGGAACAAAAGTGCAAAGGTCTTTATGAAGGTTTAGGAGCCTACACTTGGGCCATAAGTTCTTTGGGGCTGGGACAGACATCTTAGCACAATGGGGGCAGAGTTCAGGACATGGGCTCCTCGGTGCTCCATTGATCCAGGAAAGTACAGTGCTGTGCCACCCGGGCTATTGGGTGACACCTGGAGGCTCCCCCCAAAGGAATCTTCTGCCTGGCTGCCATTGAGAGCAGCCTTGCGGCTGGCCGTCCCCAGCTATTGACAAACCTCCTTGGCTTGTGCTGTTCCTGGTTCCTTACACCATTTGCCCAGCTCCCTTGCAGGGTGTTTAAGCCAATGGCCAGCAGCTATGATGTACCAGCAGGGTCTAGGCCTGCACTGTCACTGCGGCCAGTGTGTGGCAGGGCTCTGCATATCCACAGGCCGGGGTGCTCATAGGGCTTCCCCCCTCCGTCCCTGCAGGAAGGCGCTGACCCCAAGAAAGTGGATGCCCTTTCCACAGGGTTCGGCTTTCCCGTGGGTGCCGCCACCCTGATCGACGAAGTGGGCGTGGACGTGGCTGCACACGTGGCAGAGGATCTCGGCAAGGCCTTTGGCCCGCGCTTTGGGGGCGGGAATGTCGAGCTGTTCAAGTGCATGGTAGAGAAAGGCTTCTTAGGTGAGTGGCCCCAGAATGCTTGAGCTGGGCTGTCTGGTGCCAGCCCCTCCCCTCTTGGTCCCTGGGCTGGGCTCCCGGCAACCGCCTCACGCTTGTGCTCGAGCCCACAGATGCAGCGTTCCCTGCTGAATGGCGCTTGAGCCCTTCCAAGTCCTGGCCTGATGAGACCAGTTATTGATCGGCTGCTCCTGGGCAGGGGCAGATGGGGCTGCAGCTCCAGCCACCCCACTCACATGGTAGAGCGACCTAGAGCCGCATGAGATGCAGCTGTGACAAAGCCATTGCTGGCCACTAGAGGCCACTGTTCCTCAGAGATGTGCCCCAGGGGTGCCTGTTCCCTGCAGGCTGCTCAGCCCACGAAGGAGTGTTGCATGCTGGGACCTGTAGTCCGTGCGGGCTACATCTTTGTATTAAGGATGAAGACAGCTGCATTGTAGATATGGGCTGCGATTGGGTCACTCTGGTCTTAATTTTGGGACATCTCCTGACCCCAGCAGGCCCATGCTCTTAAGCATTGATGAGATGCAAACTCTGGGCAGGATCTGCTGTTGGGAGAGCCGTGGAAGCCAGTCGCCCCACCTCTCCTCTGCCCCAAAACATCTCCAAGACTCAGACCAGTGGAGACTGGCAGCCCTGGCTGCTTCTTGGCAAGGTCAAGCAGATCTGTCTGACCACCCCTCCTCTGATTGCCTTCCCCTTCCCTCTGTACATGAACTGTTCCCCTGACTCCAGGGGGCTGAGAGCCAGATGGCCGCCTCCCTTCACTGCAGTACCGGGAAGCTGTTCCCAGGTGCCATTTGAGCTTGGGGGTAGCCTCTCATCCCACAGGTACCTGCTGCTTGTGCCGGCAGAGAAGCACGTACCAGGTTAGCAGTCCGTATGCAACCTAGGGGATCAGTGGCAGTTATGGGGCAGCTCAGCCAGTGATTGACATTCCCCCTCCCCGGCAGGCCGCAAGGCAGGAAAGGGTTTCTACGTGTACCAGCAAGGCGTGAAGAACAGGAGCGTGAACTCCGGCATGGATGAGATCTTGGCGCAGTTCAAGGTGCCCTCCAGGCTCGAGGTGTAAGTAGATGGTGTCTGAACCCAAAAGGGTTGGGTGGGGAGGGCAGCAGGGGGTGGCTCTGGGCACCCCAGCCTCTCCCAGCACTGCCAAGTCTTCTGTCACCTGCTGCGGACAGCCCCTCTGGGGGCACTGTCACAAGGGCTGTGCTGGGCCTCCAAGCAGAGCAGCCCCGGGATCTGGCACTGGTCCCTCTGAGACTGGCTGATCTCCAGTTTAATTGTCCATCCCTCACCTCTGGGGTGCTGGGGGGGTCACTGGCGGCTGCTGGTAGCACAGAACACTGGGGGGCTTCCTTTGGAATGCCAACTGCCTCGGGGGGGTGGGGGTTGTGCGACAGTCGACACTGGTACTGCACCTTGGGGGAGAGCCCCCCTAGGGCTTGTTGGTGCGAGTCAAGGGGGGGGATCCGTATGGTCCCCTGGCCCTCCAGCTAGGATCAGCTACACTCTGAAATCGGATCCGTCGTATGGCCTGACCTGTCTCCTTTCGCTGCCCCAGTGTGGGGCCTGACAGATCACTGCCTTATCGTTGGGGACCCAGGCTGAGTATCAGACTGGTCCTGCTGCCTCCTCCAGTCAGAGGGCAGGTCCTAATGCCACTCAACAAGCCATGGCTGCCTCTGGCCCTGTCCCCACCCCCTGGGCGCTCCTGGCTGGTTCTCGAGGCCTGGGCCCCAGGCTGCCCCTCCCGCTTTGTGGTCTGAGCAACATCGCTCTGTTCCAGCTGCTCCGACGAGGACATCCAGCTGCGCTTGGTGACGCGGTTTGTGAACGAGGCGGCTATGTGCCTGCAGGAAGGGATCCTGAGTGACCCAGTGGAAGGAGACATAGGAGCTGTGTTTGGCCTGGGCTTCCCGCCGTGTCTGGGAGGTGAGTGGCTTCCCCCGGCCGTACGGAAGAGGCTGCCTGACGGAGCAGGGAACGGGACTAAGCTGGACTGGCAGTAAAGCTTGATCTGGAAGCAGCTGCCCACGGAAGAGTGTCCGCTTAGCGCCCTTCAGGGAGGTGGCGTAGCTATACTGGCCAGAGAACTCCTCCGCGGTCTCCACTAGGGGGCTCTGCCAGCATAGCTACGCCGGCCAAGACTCTGGAGTGTAGCCAGGACCCGAGTCACGAGTGAGTTGAACGTGGTACCCGTCTGCATTCACCCTCCAGGGAGCGGAGTCCGGCACTCTTGAGAGCGAAGCTGTGCATGGAGCGTGTGGTCTACAAGCCCCTCGCTTGAGCACTGAACTAGTCTTCCGAGAAGTCGCCATGGACGCGGCGTGTGCGTGGCGAGTGTCCAGCGGGGCGTGGGGCAGCGTGGCTCACTGGCTCAGCATAGTTGGCTCGAATACCATCACGCTGCACCTCCCGAAGCATGCTGGGGCTGGGGCTGGGCAGGGGGCTCCCGAAACCAGAGCTCAGGTTCTCGGTCACGGCTGCAGATACAAGGGACTTCTGTCATATCGCTTAAACTGCCCCGAGGGCCAAGCTCTGCAGTCCCATGCTGTCGCCTGTAAACACAGGGCGTGTCTGGGGGTGAGCCTGCAGCTGCTGTTAATATGGAATTCCAGACACAGCTGGGCTTGGCCCACAGCCTATGGCCCAGTCTAGCTATTCCCCCTGGCTCATGCTGTTCAAACACTACCCCACCCGTTAAATCCTAGGGTACGTCCCCTGGCCTTGGGGGCCCCCGCAGCTCAGCGGTGAGGTGGCTGATGTAGCTGGGCGTGAGAGTCCAGGTCTGCTCTGCACACAGCGAAGACCCTCCCTGTCAGTGGGGTCAAGTGCTGGCAGCAGGTGTCTTTGCTTCCCTTCCAGCTGGGTGTCACGGCTGAGCACAGCTGGACAGTTGGCTCCAGTGTGCAGCAGTTTGCTCCTTCAAAGTGTCCCTGGCCTTGATTGCAAACATTAAAAGGCCCCTGAGCACAGCTGGGATTGTCCTAAAAGTAACAGTGGCAGCAGCTTTTACATCCATTTCTGCTGGCACCATTGCACATAATCGTCTGAGTGGAGGCCCACACCACCACCCCTGGAACTGCCTAGTCAGCCAGGCAGCGCAGGATGCAGGGGCTTGCCTTCCCCTGCTGCTGCCTAGCCCCTCGCCAGCCGCTCAGCCAACCTCACTGTGCTCTGTGTGGGCAGGATTGCTGTGCTGAGCCGGAGCAAGGCCTGAATTCTCTCCTGGCCTGTACCTGGGGAGCCTGCTCCCCTATACACAGCAGAGCTCAGCCTGAAATCCAGGGGTGTTTCCTCTGCACGCAGACGGGAGGCTTGAGTCCAGTGTGTTTGCCTGTCTCCCGGGTTGGGCACAGCTCTCCTGCAGGCTCTCGAGTGGTGCCCTCTCGCACAGTCCCCCCTACTGACTTAGCCCCGTGTTCTGTGCAGGCCCTTTCAGATACACAGACTCCGTTGGAGCCAAGCAGCTGGTGGACAAGCTGCGGAAGTATGAGGCCGTCTACGGAAACCAGTTCACACCATGCCAGCTGCTTCTGGATCACGCCAACGACCCGAGCAAGAAATTCCACCACTGAACGTGTCCACGGGCCTCCAGCCATAGATGCACTCGCAGCTAGAGCCTGGGGAGAGCCTGCTCCAGCCAAAGCTCTATTCTGTCCGTTCCTCTCTAAGCACCGGGGCTGGGGGGCAGTGAACTCTGGAGGTTTGTAGCCCTTTAAGTGCCTTAGCAGCTTCTCAGGCACTCTCCCACCCATCCCTGGCTGGTTGGATGTTGCACCTCCCGTTTGAAGATGGAAGAAGGGTTTTTGTGTTCAGTCAACCCAATGCCCTCCAGAGCCTCCGTCCAGCAGGCGTTAGCCCCATGGCCGTGCCCAGGACAGCTGCTCCCCACCACGGTTCATGGCAAATGTTTAACAATAAACCACCGGTCTCTTGTTTCTGGCCTCTGCCTGCTTAATCCTGTCTCAGGCCCTCACATGCAGAGGGGTGGAGCCTCACGGGGTTGAGGGAAATAAAGCACTCGGTGACTGCTCCAGCGTGTCCGCCTGTCTGGGGCAACCTGCTTTCTCCGGCGGTCTGCTGAGCTGTGCGAAACTGGTGTTAATGGAGATGGGGGGGAACGAACAGCCTATTCTGTCACCTCGGGTGTCAGTCAATAGTTCAGAGCCTCCAGCTGCCCTGACCCACTAGGGTTAGAGTGGCAGCTGGAGGCTCCTGTAATTGCAAATCCATCCCCTGAAGGCCAGGAAGGCTGCCATGGGCAGAACTAATTTAAACTAAAAGGCTTTAAATCTCTGTGCACCTGTCACTGATAGCCGCCCCCCCCCCCCATAGATTAGCCCCAGCAACATGTGGTGCTTAGACTTCCTTTGCCTGCTGCAGCTACCTCCGTCCTCAGTGGGGGCTGTTTGGATGGCCGCCCCCACCCCACAGCAGGTGACTCTTGTGTCTCTGGCTCTGATCAGTTATGGGGGTGAAAACAGGAAGCTGGGAGCCCCCCTGGAGCTACCCAGCCCTCACCCTGCTGCTCCTTGTGTCCCCTGGAGCCTCCTACCTCCCCTTTAAGAAAATGTTTCCTCTTGCTCTAAGTTTCCTCAGTTCAGGTCTGGGCACCTGCCCTAGTTCGGGCCCCTGCTCCAGGCCTGGCAGGTGCTGCCCAGCTCCAGAGAGTGTTTCCCTTCCCCAGGCAGGGGCGGCCCTCTTGGATTTCCATGGGACTCCGCTGTATGTCCTAGCTCTGCCCCATGCAGGGGCCAGGGGCTCTCCTCTCCAGCTGCCTGCCTTGTTCCAGCAGCTCCAAGCTGTTCCAGCACCATGGCCAGGGGCTTGGCTCTGCCTAGGCAGCCTGTTAAACAGGTCTCGGGTGTGGCCTGTGTTGCTCACAGCTGCCAGCCTGGAGCCAGCTCATGTGGGAACCTAGGCAACCTATGGCCCATGAGCTCATTTTCGGTGGCACTCACACTGTCCGGCTCACGGCCACCGGTCACGGGGGCTCCACTACTGGCCTGGCATGCTGGCCCCCTGCCAGCTGGGCTTCCGGCCACCGACCCTGTTCAGCCTGTTGCTGGGCCCAGGTCCCGGCCACCCGTCCGGGGGGCTCCGGTGCCAGTCTGGGCTTCTATCTGCTCACCCGCTACCAGTCCCAGCCACTAGTCCAGGGGACTCTGCTACTGGCTTGGGGTACCGGCTGCTTGCCATCTGCTAGCTGGGGTCCTGGCCGCTGGCCCTGCTCAGCCCGCTGCCAGCCCTGGCTCGTGGCCACTGGTCGGGGAGGCCCTGCTGCTGGCCTGGGGTGCTGGCCTGGGGTACTGGCCGCCAGCCCGGTTCCCAGTCCCGGCCACCGGTCTGGGCCTCTGCAGCTGCCCCCAGCTATGGCCCTCTGGCTGCAGCCTGGGGCAGTGAGGGGTGCAGCTCAGTATGGGTCACATGGATTCTCATTACTGGCATGCAAAACCCTAAATTAGAGTGAATAAATGAAGACTCGGCACACCGCTTCAGAAAGGGGGCCAACCCCTGGCCTAGATCCATAGGCCATGGGGCTACAGGCTCCCCTCCGCGCTGTGCAGATCTCACCCCAGAGGCGTGGGACCAGTAGCATCCGGCCAGTGGCTGCCTTGACCCACCTGTGCTAGCAGAACCCGCCTCGGCCTCCGCAGGGCGCAGCTCACGAGGGCTGAAAAGGAAGAGCAGGGCTGGGTTGCTGGAATGGCGCATCCCCAGCTGCAAGCGTAGGGCCCGTGCGGAGGGGCGCAGGGATCCGGCCCCAGCTGCGAGCGTAGGGCCCGGGCAGAGGGGCTCGGGGATCCGGCCCCAGCCCCTCCTGTGCAGTGGGGCAGGGATCAGGCCCTACTGGCCCAGGGTGAAGGCTGGGGGCAGCGGGCATGCAGCTACCCCCCAACCAGCTTCTTTCTTCCATCCCAGCTCCCAGGCCCTCCCGCCCCTGCAAACAGCCGTTCCCGTGGGCCGGGGCTGCCTTTTAAAATCTTTATTTCACTAATCCACAAGGATTAAGTTAAACCAGCAGAACCAAACCCAAGCCCGGCCCCGCCCGGTGGGGCTGAGAGCGCGGCGCTAGCCGGTGTTAACCCCAACGAGGGGCGAGCGTCCGAGCCCCTGAACTGAGCCAGCCGGAGCCAAGCTCCTTGAGCGGGCCGGGGGGGCGAGCAGCCGCAGGCCGCTAAATACCCCAGCCCCTGTGGCAGGCGAGTTAACCCCCCCGGCAGGTAACGGCAGCGCCCAGCAGCGGCTGCTGGCCCTGCACCGGGGCTGAGGGCGGGGCGGGCCGTGCCCTCTTAGTTCAAGTGCTGGGGTGGGTGGCAGGCCAGAGACGTGGCTCGGATGTGGGCGCCGGGGCTCGGACGCTGTCCGAAAGGCCACGCTGGCTTGCAGCCACGTGCTGAGGGCTTGCCCCGAGCAGAAGGCACTCGCGGTATCTCCGGGCACCCCGATAGCTGCCAGGCGGCTGCTGGGGCGGGGGCCCTGCCATGTGTCCTGTACGTCCCCCCGAGATGGGAATCTCTCCTGCCCCTCGTGCTCTGAGGTCCCTGGGCAGTAGCTGGGGCATGGCTCTTGGCTGCCGCGCTCTGCAGGGCCAAGCACCCCTCCTCCTGCCTGAGCAAGGGCCGGGGCTGCGGTGCCAGCCGGCAGGGGGCAGAGTGAAAAACTCAGACTGAAACGCCCCAGCCCAGCCTGCAGTGCTGCCCGCGGGCACGGCCTGCCCCTTGCCATGGAGCCTGGGGGGGCTGGGCTGCATACCGGCCCTTGGGGGCAATGAACGGGCAGTAACCCAGCCACTCAGGAGCAGCCAAGCAGGAGCACAGGCAGGCCCCTGCCCCTGCGGGGGACGAGGGGGACAGGCAGCCCACCAAACACACAAGGAAATGAATTGCAGCGAACTCTGCTAAGGCAGCAGGGAGGCCCAGCTGTTAAATGCAGGCAGGCCTGGGGCTCGGGCACGCGTCTCTGTTCAGCTGTCCAGGGCAAGGCTTGGCCCCGCCACTGCGTCTGGGCTGGGCCCCGTGCTCGGGGCCGGGAGGGGGTGAGCCGGCATATACAGCCTAGCACTCCAAACCCCAGCCCTGCACGCAGACAGGGCAGGTCCTGGCTAGGGCTGTGTTAGCCCTTCTGGGGTGCAGTGTGCCCCAGTCCCCCAGTCAGCCAGCTCTCAGCACTGCACCCAGCCTTCTGTGCCCACAGCCAGACCCGTCATTGTTCCCGGGCCCCCCTCCAGGCTGATGCCTTGCCCAGCCCTGCTGCCCACTCGCGCTCTGCTCCTCCGGGGGCAGCCACCCACTAAGGCCCAGCACCCGCTGCCTCAAGGCCCTACTGGGCACCCAGGGGATGACACTGAATCTGGGGGTGGGGGGGATTTAGGGGATGCAGCACCCCCAGGAGGCTGTCATGGCACATGCTGACTAGAGGGAGGCTCAGGGCAGAGAGGGAAGATGGCAGCATGATATCAGGGTGGGGTGGGGGGAGGAGGCCCTGGGATCCCCCCCCCCCCCGAGCATAGGGGTAATGGGGTGTGTGGATCAAGCAATGGGGTGGAAGGGAACGAGGCCCCAGGGGAACCAGGCCAGCTGCAGCTGACAGCAAAGCTCCTCGTGGTCCAGAGCTGGGGGCCCCGTCCCATGACAGGTCTCGGTGCTCGGGGCCCCAGTGCCAGTGGGCTGCTCCCAGGCCCCTCGGCAGGGCTGTGCACACTGGAGGCCCCACATCTGTACACGTGGGCCTGGCCCCCATGGACTGGGTCATTGTGCAGGGCCCCACCCCGACGAGCCAGGTCTAGCCACAGAGCCCATCCTAGGCAATGGGTCATTGTGTGGGGGCCCACCCCAACCCCACAGACTGCATCCACCAGCCAGGCCCCACGACCACGGGCCAGGCTCACAAGCTGGGCCCCATGTCCACGGCCCAGGCCCACGAGCAGGGCCCCAAGTCCACGGGCCGAGCCCACCAGCCGGGCCCCAAGTCCATGGGCCGAGCTCACCAGCCGGGTCCCACGTCCACGGGCCGAGCCCACCAGCCGGGTGCCACGTCCACATGCCACGAGCCGGGCCCCACGTCCACGTGCCACGAGCCGGGCCCCCCGTCTACGTGCCACGAGCCAGGCCTCGCGCTAGATCTTGGGTCGCCAGCCCTTGATGAACTGCATGATCTTCTTGACCTGCAGCTTGGTGAGGCGGAAGTCGTCGGCGAGGATCTCCTCGGGGAGCTGGACGAAGATGCTGCCGTCGATGCGCTCGCGGGCGAAGAAGCTCACCGCGTCCTCGGAGAGGCCGATGAAGCGCAGGCATCGGGACACCTCCTCCACGGAGAGCGCCGCCAGGTCGGCGGGGGGCTGCCAGGCCGAGCCGCCGCCATTCAGCCGGGGCGCGCCGGGCACGTGGCTGGCGTTCTCGCCCGGGCCGCTGCGCGGGGCCGACGCCGGCGGCACCTCGATGACGCCCTGCGCGAGGTAGACGCGGGTGACGCCCCCCTCGGCCCCGCGCACGATGGTGGGCGGGAGCGGCGCTGTGCTGCGGATCACAAGGCCCTCCGCCTCCAGGCTCTTGGGGGGCCGGGGCGGGGGGGCGGGGCAGGCACCTGGCTGGCTGTAGCAGCGCTCCGACTCGGGGGGGGCGCTCTCGAAGGGGTCGAAGGTCTCCGGCGTGGGCGCAGAGGGGGGCTTCTGCCAGTCCAGGGCCTCCAGCCACTCGGGGGAGGAGGAGGGGCTGGGCGAGTAGGCGGGGTTGGCGAAGGGGTTCAGGGCCCCGAAAGGGGCGAAGCGTTTCTGGGGGTGGGGGGCCTTGAGGCGGGGGCAGCCGTGGTAGGTCTTGATGGGGGCGTCGCCCCCCAGGAGGGGCGTGGAGCGCCCGCTGGCCACGCTGGGGCCCGTGTCGGCGTAGGCCCAGGGGTCCGACCAGGACGTCTGGCTGGGCTGGGTGCTGGGCGGCACAGTCCCCGGCAGCTGGCGGCCGGCAGAGTCCCCGGCCTTGCAGTCGCCCCAGGTGCAGGGGTAGCAATAGAGGGAGTAGGAGTCCGGGGAGGGCGAGCAGCTCCCGCTCCGCGTTCCTGAGCTGCCGGGAAGAGAGAGAGCGTCAGGCAGGGCGCAGCCGGGGGCTGCTCCAGCTACAACGGGTCTAACACAGCGCCCGGATCTGCACCCCCAGAGCGTTGGGTCCACAGCCTGGATCGGGTCCTGACCCGTCCTAGCCACCTGGCTGGGTGGAAATCGACTGGGCTACCTCACGGCTGGGGCATCCGCCACCGTCCCCTTGGCAGGGCGCGAGGGAGACAGCAGAGCGTTGCCGGCAAACTGCCCCGGGGCCTGGATGGACGGACTGACGGTGGGGGCTGGGTAAGCCGAATCTCTCCAGCTCGGCTACAGATCCAGGAAAGGGCTAAGGCCAGCCCCATGTCCCCTAGACGTTGCAGGTTGCTGAGGCTGCAGAGATTGAGAGAAGGGCCAGGCCCAGCAAGATCTAGGGGGCTGTGGGGGCATCTCCCCAGGTAGGGATAAGAGCCCCCCAGGCCCAGAGCGGGTCACAGCTGGACTGGATGGAGCGCCGGGGTGGAAACAGGATGGCACCTGGGAGGTCCAGTCGATGCCTCATTTATCGGAGTCTATGGTCCTGCTTTCATGTGATTGGCTTCCCCACGCATGGGCGGGGCCTCCTGGGGTGAGGGTGGGGCTATAGGAGAAGGTAACCCCTCCCCCTCGATCAAGAGCATCTCATGCTTGTATGTTACTTGGGCCTGCCTCCCCCTCCCACCCGCCTTTCCCAAAGCCCTTCCCCAATTCCAGGCGGTGCTCCTGTCCCCGGTCACCGAAACGCAGCCACCGCTGGGCTGGAAGGCGGCAGCAGGAGGCTCAGAGCTGGGGCAGTAGAGGGGAGATGTAGGCGGCGGCGACCCAGGCTGGAATGTGGCCAGGACACGGGCTCTGATGCCCCTGTGAAAAGGGCCAAGGGCGTCGCTGACCAGGCCTCGAGAAAGCCGCCACTTCCAGCCACAGTCACCGCCCTGGGCGCTGCCTCGCCGCCTCCGTCCCGCCCCGGGGACTACCTCCCCCGGCGCAGCCCCCACTCACGCGTCGTGGAGCCCGGCTGAGTAGTACGAGACGCTGGGACTGGGCGAGTGCGCTGGCTGGAGCTTTGGGAAGCGCAGGGGGACGGGTGGGCTGGAGGTGGCGTGGGGCCGGCTGCCCCGGGGCGGGATGGGGGGGGCGTTCAGCAGGCGGCATTCCTCCTTCACCTGGAAAACACAAGGAGCTGGGGCTAGAGAGAGCAGAGAGCAGCATGGACTCTTCCGCCCGAGCCCTGGGCGCCCGTTAGTGCTCGGACCCCTGCCCTGAATGCCCCCCGCCATGCAACAGTAGAACGCCCCCCGTCCCCCAGGGCCCTGCCTTGCTTGGCTTCTCGGTGCCAGGCTGCCAGGTTTGTTACCGCTAAGATACTGGCACCAGGAAGGAATCCCCCCGGGGGATAGCTGGGCTTTGGGAAGTGATGGTGCCTTCCGGACTGGTCCTGCTCCTGCATCCTTCCAGCCCATGGGCCGCAGGGAGGGAGAGGGCAGGAACTTTCTCTGGGCTTCTCGGCTCAGGTCTGGGCTGCCGGCGTCCCCAGCTGTGGCAAAGCGCCCACAGGCGGGGCGGGGGCAGTGGATGTGCGGGGACGGCACCGGCTCAGCCCGCCTGCCACCCCGGCATAACAGCAGGGCCCTGCCTCTCCCTTTGGGAGCCTGTCCGCGGAGCGGGTTCTTCCCAGCGCGAGGAGCCCCCCCGGGAGTGCAGCCGAGCTGGAGCAGCCCCTGGGTTCCCTTCACTGGGACCAGGGAGATGGAGACGCACGATAGGCCAGATCCTGCCCCAAGACTGAAAAACTGGGCCCCACGGACACAAGAGAGCCAGGCTCTGGGTTCCCATCTCACCCCAAAGACAACCCCCGTGCCCCAGCCAATCACACACCCAGCCTCGGTGTGACGAAGCGGGACTGTTCTTAATGTTTCCTCTGAATAGTGTGGGGGTGCCTCAGTTTCCCCTAGGCAGTTCTTAAGTATCTAGGGGGTGGGGTAAGGGTGTATGATCATTGCAGAGCCCTAGAGGGCAGGTGTGGGCAGGGATCTGGACACAGAGAAGGGCCGACACCCTGTTTCCTGGCAACTGATGGCCTGGGCCCTTCCCCCCCTGCAAGGTGAGAGCTAAAGGGTTGGAGAACAAAGGAATCAGGTGACCTCCTGGCCCGGGGAAAGGGACAAAGCCCAGAGGAGGAGGGGCTGGAGGGAGTTTTCAGTTTGGGGCTGGCCGGGACATGGAGTGAAGGGCAGACGTGGTTGTCTGGCTCACTGCCCCCCAAAATGGACCCAGCTGAGGGGTCCCGTTCTCTGCACCTGCAAGCTCTGTTTTAGACCATGTTCCTGTCGTCTAATAAACCTTCTGTTTTACTGGCTGGCTGAGAGTCACATCTGACTGCGAAGTTGGGGGGCAGGAGCCTCTGGCTTCCCCAGGACCCCGCCTGGGCGGACTCGCTGTGGGAAGCGCAGGGAGGGGCAGAGGATGCTGAATGCTCCGAGGTCAGACCCAGGAAGGTGGAAGCTGTGTGAGCTGTGTGTCCTGCAGACAGGCTGCTCACAGAAAGGCGACTGCCCCAGAGTCCTGACTGGCTTCATGGGGAGCAGTTCCAGAGCATCGCCCAGGGACTCCGTGACACTCGGCCCCTGCACACGGCCAGGAATCATAGAAACAGGGGAGGTCAGAGTAACCTACTGGCAATAGGGGCGGTATCCTGGCGTCCCCCAGGGGCTGGTCCACTGCAGGATAGCAGCCTACTACTGCTACCAGCTGTCGGATTTATTCTTTTCCCCCAACTGGCGGAGGTGATGGAGGTCCTGGATTCAAACCCTGCTGACAATCCAGGAGGGGGTCATTCCTCCAGCATCTCTTAGCACCTGGGCAATAGCCTTAGAACTCCACCGGCTTATTACCCCAATCCGGGCCCAGGACCCCAGCGCACTCGGAGCTGTACAGACCCAGGCCCTGCCCCAAAGAGATTACAATCTAAGACGACCTCTGCTTGCTGGCCCTGGGAAATGTGGCTGCTCTCCCCCAGCCTGTCTGCTCCCCTGGGGACCGGCAGCCAAGCCGATCTCACCGCAGCCCCCCAGAGCCTCAGTTCATTCGCAGTGTGTGCCAGCAGCGGCCTGGGCTGGGGGTGCTACCATCAATGCAATGAATCCCCCCCTACCAAAGAGCCACCAGCCAAGGGCCTGGGAGCGGGAGCAGGCTCAGCCGAGGCAGTGATGGAGAGAGAGCCAGAGCCAAGCGCTTCCCAGCCCAGCTGTGCCGGCTTGAGTGTCCGGGATGCCCAGAAGAGCTCAGTCCGCCGGGCATTGAGTCCTTTAGAGCCCCGGGCTCTGAGTGCGGAGCCCAGACCCACGGGCCCCCCCACGCCCAGCCCAGCTGGCTTCTCCCCAGCTCGCAGGGACGGGAGCAGAGGTCCCCGGGGCTCGGCGGAGAGCACGAACCCAGAGTCAGGCACGGGCCCCTGCCACCAGCTAGCGGTGCCAGGGCGTTCCCAGCCATGAGTCACAGCCACCACCCCTGGGCTGCTCTGCCCTGAGCCTGGAGGCCAAGGGAGCAAACCCGCGGCTGGCAGAAGTGAGGGCACATTGGCCTACGCAGGGGCACGAGGCCAGCCAGGCCTTCACCCTCTCCCCCATCCTTAAAACACACATCTGCTGTGACAGCCTTTGAGCCCCTGCTCCCCCCTTGTACCTATCCACAGGATCTCATTGCTCCCACCCCACTTCTCCCCAGCGCGGGGGCTGTTCTGACCTAGCAGGATATCACCATGGGTGCGCGCCCTGCTGGCAGAAGTCACGTGCGGCTGCCTGGCCCCGGGTCCGCTTGGCTGACAGCTCATTAGGCCGAGGCTCGTGTCTGGAGTCAGCGACTGGGTGCAGGGAAGATGCACAGACTGACGGACAATTTCACCCAACCTAGGGCACCCGAGGCCGGGCAGGGCTCCCGGGTCCCTCCCTGGCTCTGCCGCTGCCTTGCTGGGGGAGCCTGGCTGAGCTGCACAACCCGGTTCTGTGTCTAGTGCGGGGATCGTGGGTGTGGGTGCTGAGGGGGCCCTTCCCATGGGGCGTTGGGGGCGCCCAGAGACCCAGGTACTGGGGCCAAAGGCCGTTATCTGCTCATGGAGGTGGCAGAACTCCGACAGCCAAAGGGATCGCTTACCGCTTCGGATTTGGGTGGGACGGGAGGCGGCGTCTCGCCCATGGGCTCCTCCCCGCGCAGGGCGGGGCGGTGGGGGGAGCCCAGTGGAGAGGAGGCGGCGAAGGACATGAGGTCGCGCTGCCCTTTGTTGGCGCTGCCCAGCCCCGGCGGGTTGCCGCTGGGCTCCGAGAAGTCATCCGGGTTCTGGTTGGCCCAGAGCTCCTCGTAGGGGATCTCCACCGGCTCCTGAGTCCTGAACTCGGGCTCGGCCCAATCGGGCGTCACGTACTCCCGCTCCGAGTCGGGGAGCTCAGACGGGGCCGAGCGCTCATGGCGGGGCAGGAGCAGCTGCGGGGCCTGCCCGCCCGGCACCGCCAGGGGGTCCTCGGGGGCGTGGGCCGAGCCCCCGCTGTAGATGCAGAGCGAGAGGCGCTGGAAGGCTGGAGCCAGCTCCTCGTGGGCACAGCCCTGCAGGCAGAGGCGGATGCGCCGGGGGCTGGCGCACTCCTCCGACAGGTCGGGCTTGGCCTCCCGCACGGCTTTGGAGTACTCGTCGGGGTCGAAGCGCTCCTGGCAGAGGGCGGTGCTGTCCCGCAGCAGCTTCTCCAGCTGGGGGTCGCCCCAGAGCAGCCCCTGGGGCAGGGCGAAGCGGGGCATGTCGCTCAGCAGCAGGAAGTGGAAGGGCACCATGGCCTCCTGGCGCAGGATGCAGCAGAGCACCACCGTCTTGGAGATGATGCTGAGCAGCTTGTAGCAGTGGCCCTCGCGGATGGCGTGCAGGTCGTAGGGGTTGCGCGAGGGCCGGCCGGGCACCGCCACGTTGACGGGCAGCCGCACCTTCTCGATGATGCTGCGGATGGTGTGCTCGCCCTCCCGCATCTGCAGCTCCAGCGGGCTGCGGGTGCTGAAGCACCCCTTGCACTGGAAGGGCAGGCTGAGGCTCTCGTTGGTGCGGTGGTTCATGCAGATCAGGCAGGGCACCTTGCCCTTCGCCGGCTTGCTGCCCAGCGGGCTCCCCTTGCCCAGCTTGCGCAGGAGGGTGGGGAGGCGCCACTTCTCCTTCGCCGCCTTGGCACACAGGATCTCGGCCTGGCCCATCAGCGTCAGCTCGTCGCCCGCCTGCAGCGTGAAGTTGTAGACCTCGCTGTCCTCGCTGAACTCCCCGGACACCACCTGGCGGGGGGACACATGGGCACCGGGGTTAACAGGGCCGGAAGTGGGGGCATGAGAACTGGGAAGCACAGGGGCACCAAAGGGTTAGTGGGGCCAGCGAGGCAGCTGGCACTGGGGGACATGGGGGGTGGGAAGCACTTGGGCCCTGGGGTGTGAATGGGGCCAGAGAAATGGCTGGTACTGCGGGCCGTGAGGGGGGCCACAGGGCTGGGAAGCACACAGGCCCCAGAGGGTGAATGGGGCTGCAGGGGCCCAAGAAGGGACCAGCCATGTCTGTGGCTCAGACGAGCGTTTTGGGTCCCATGGGACAGGACACCAAATGCCCAGGACTCTCCAGTCATCTGCGCCGGACCAGGCGCCTGCCTTGAGCAGAGCGGGCCAAGGCCGCGGCTCCCCGGTGCCAGGATCCCAGCGCTGCTCCCTGCAGGCCTCCTGCGCACCTGGCCCCGACCAGAGCCCGCTGGCTGCCTGGGCCCTGGGCGGATCCCAGGGACCTGCTCCCAGCCAGCCCAGCGCCGGGGGCCTGCTGGCGGGCAGTGGGCCGAGCACTGGCATGGCGCTGACCTTCACGCTGAAGGTGATGGCCTCCATGACGAAGACGCGGTCCGGGAAGCTGCTGGCCACCTCCTCCACGCTGTTGAAATACTGAACGGGTTCGCGCACGTCCCGGTCTTGGTCCAGCAGCTTAAACTTCCCTGCAACAGCCCAGCCCAAAGCCCCAGTTAATGGAAAGAGACCCAGCCCCGTGCAGCCCGGCAAGCCCTAGCCCCCTCCCTGGGTCCCAGCTCCACCACTGCGTGGGTCTGACCCAGTGGCCACCAGGCAGCGCGGGAGCATCACCTCCGCTCGGATCGCCGCCTGGGGAGCTCATGTCTGCACACGGACAATGCAAGCCCAGGGCGTCCATGCGAAGCCAGCCCCAGAGGGGTCCCGGGAGTGGCCAAGGGGCCCCGTCCATGAGAAACACCAGCAGGCAGCGCTGAGCACCCCTGCACCCACCACCTTCCCAGGAGGGGTCCCCTCAGTGCAAATATTGGGGGTTCCTGCCCCAGGCTTTATTCACGGGGTCGCCCCAGGTCTCCCTCCCTCCTCAGGCTGCAGGGGTACAGAGGCCAGTAAAGCAGGGTGTCGTCATTTGGAGGGGGCCCAACACCCCACCAGGGCTCAACGGCTGGTGCCCTCGGGATCTGCAGGACCCACGCTCACTGCAAGAGCGGCGCAGAGGGTGGCCGGGAAGATGCAAGGCGGGTGCATTCACTGATGGGGAAGTGCCCTTTGGGAGCACGCTCCTCGCACGATCCCCACTGCTGGTACAGCCCTGGGCTGGGAGGACACAACACAGCTTGTCCAGAGCTGCAGAGAGATGACGGGAGAAGAGGAACGGTCCAGCCCCCGTCAGCAGGCACCAGGTGAACACCCACAGCTGGGAGGTGGGTGAAGGTGTGACGATGTGACTCAGCAGGGAGGGGGGACTGTTGACCTGGGAATGTGCCCTGGGGATGGGAGACCTGAGAGCCTGTCACCTGAGCCAGGAGGAGGAGGGGGAGGTAACACCTCTACCCCGGAATGTGGACGGAGGCTGCAGCAGGGAACCTGCTGGGGGGGGTTTAGTTTTCAGTTTGGGGCTGGGGGGAGGAACGCAGGGAACCCCAGGGCTGGGGTCTAAGCTCCCTGCTCCCCCAGAAGGACTTGACTGAGGGGTCCTGGTTGTACCCACAAGCTCTGCTTGAGACTGTGTTCCTGTTGTCCAATAAACCTTCTGTTTTACTGGCTGGCTGAGAGTCTCAGTGAATCCCTGGAAGGGGGGTGCAGGGCCTGGACTCCCCCACACTCCGTGACAGAAGGTCCCAGGCTAACAGGGCCTATGGGGCAGGGCAGGGCCATGGGGCCAAACCCATCCCTCGGGTAGCTCCACTGACCTCAGAGAGGATGGCAAATTTGGCCCATGATTTATATCCCTATCCCAGCGAAGCCCATTGACTCCCGCCCAGCCCTTTCCCTCTCCTCCCAGGGACCCTCCTGGCCATAGGGAAGGGGGCAGACAGAGAAGAGGCCAGCTGGCTTACGGGAAAGCCACCTCCCCGCCCCCGGCATGGCGTGGGGAGAGAGCAGGAAATCCCCGAGCAGAGGGAGGGCTGGCTGGATCAATGGGCCACGGCCAAGCACTTCCTGCTCAGCAAAGGCTGCAGCGCGGGCAACGTCCCGGGGGCTCGCTGAGCGCAGACCTGAGGTCAGCCCCCTCCCGCAGGCAGGCACGGTAATACACAGCCATTGCCAACAGGGGGCAATGGGACACCGCTCCAGCCCCCTTAACCCCTCAGTGCCCATGTGCTTCCCAGGCCCCCGTGCCCCCCAGTGCCACAAGATCAGGGGGTGCGGGGGGGGGTGCTAAAGTTATTCCTCTGATTAGCTGAGACACTTTCTAATGAGTTAACACCCGTCCTCCAGGAGAGCCGCTGAGATCCAGGAGTTTAGGGGCAGCCCGGGGCCTGTGCCGGAGCAGAGGGGCACTTGCAGCTCTGGTGACGGCACTAAGTAAGGGACGATGGCGTGTTCCCCACACGCACACTTCCAATCCGCCTGGCTGGCTAGACAGAACCGATCCGTGTGACGCAGCCCCCCCAGGCCCAGCACATGCCTCCGTGCTGACCACAACCCGGAGCAGCGCCGAGGGAAGCTGACACTCAGTCCCAGCGGATCCGCTGCTCTCCAGCATCACCTCTGCTGCCAGCCCGGCAGCTGGCTCTCAACCCCTCCGAGCCAATCGGAATTCATCTGGGCCCAGAGTTTGCCAGGCCTCTGGGTGGACGTGGGACTTCACCTCGGCCTGGTATAGGCCCCTTTGTCCCTCTCACCCTCTGCGAATATCCCTGGGCACCTACTGGCTCCATAAGCTGGTTTCTTGTGGGGCTCATTTGGCCCAGAGCTCTTTGTGCACTGATGGCAAAAAATTAAGCCCTGTTACTTCTTCATGACTGGTCAAATAAACCACAGAGGATGGTTTCCCTTTCCTGATTGGACAAGTGTGCAAGAACTTCCAGCATATATACTTGTGTGTGTGTGTGTAACATACACACATACCACACCAAAGCACAGCTGAGTAGCTTGCTTCTCTGGCAGCAGTAGTAGGCTGTTACTCTCAGTACCGAGGCACTAACTTCCTTAGCTGGCAGCTGTACATGATGCAGTAATGCCATTAACTGGCAGCAGTAGTAGGCTGTTATCCTCAGCATTGAAGCTCAGCAGAGTAACTCCCTCAGCTGGCAGCAGTAGTGGGCTGTTACCCTTGTTGTGGAGCAGCCACTAGAGGGCAGATACAGCACTCACTTTACCAGTATGTTACACATACAAGTTAGAGACATGGGGGATCCATCGTAGCCCTTACTCATGATGACTACATCAACGAAGCTAGCAGAGAACTCTGTGACACCCCCTGCTATAAAGAACTCACAGAAGACCCCACATCACAATTCACACAGGAATTTAGAATTACCGTCAAATCCTTCTCCAGACAACTCCAAGAAAAACTACAACCTCATCCTCCATGAAGCCACCCCAGGGACCCTCCAAGATACATACACAAGGGAACCCCAGCAGACCCATCATATCTGGCCATGGCATTCTTACTGAACAGGACTCTGAGAAACCATCCTCAAACTACTCACCACACAGAGAGCCAACTTCCTCCAGAACACAACCAACTTCCTCCAGAAACTCTAAAACATTAACAAGCTCCCTCAGAACACCTCCTCGCCACCATGGATATCACCTCCCTATACACCGACATCCTTCATTGCTGCCTGCCTCAAATATCTGCAAGACAATGGACAAAGCTCGGAAATCCATCCCACACCCATCGCCAAACTCACTCATTTCATCCTCACCCACAAAAGTGTCACATTTAACAACAAACACTTTCTCCAAACCATGGGTACAGGGATGGCTCCTCAATATTCCATCCTCTTCATGGGCCACCTTGAGGAAGAAATTCTGTAAAAATGCACAACAAAACCAACAATGTACCTGAGATACATCAATGGTCTTTTCATCCTCTGGACAGACGACCCACACTCCCTCACAGGCTTCCACCACAACTTCAGCACCCACCACCCCTCCATCAGACTCTTCCTAGAACACTCCCGCACCAGCATCAAGTGCTTGGGACCACAATCAGCTTCAGCAATGGACCCCTACAAATGACTGTATACAAGAAACCCCTGGATCACCACACTTACCTCCACAGATCCAGTAGCCACCCCAAACATACCAAGGAATCTGCTATCTACAGCCAGGCACTCAGATACCAAAGAACATGCTCCGAGGAGAAAGTCCAGGCTACACATCTTAACGCAACCAAAACGGCCTTCTCCAAACAAGGACACTCCACCAGAGAAGTAGATCGGATCATGGAATGGGCCATCCAAATACGTTGAGGGAATTTGCTTCAGTACAGAAATAAACCCCCCTGTCACTACACACCTCTAGTTGTCACCTACCACTGCACACTAGAACCCAAACGGGATATCATCATACAGTTACAACCCATACTCAATGGGGACTACAGCCTGAAAGAAATCTTTCCTGAGCCCCTTCTTTTGCCTTCAAACAACCCCTCAACCTCGCCAAGCTCATCCTTCCAAGCAAGCTCCCCACAGACCAGGACCCACCAACTCAAAGCAGCACCAGACCCTGCCAGAACAACAAATGCAAATCCTGCAGACATATCGTCATGGATACAATGATCAACACCCCCTGTAACACACCTTTCAAGATCCATGGGCCGTACGCATGCCCATCACAATACGTGGTGTATCACAACCAGTGCATCAAATGTCCCAACAACAACTCTCTGAGTGAAACCAGAGAAACATTACGTTTTCAAGTGAACTCATGCAGAAAAATGACAAAAGACAACAACACCCCATCACCTGTGGGCGAACTTTCCACAAAGCGATCGCTCCATATCTGACCTCTCAGTGCTCATCCTCAAAGGACACCTGCACAACACCTTCCAAAGATGAGCCTGGGAGCTTAAACTCATAGCTGCTGGACACTAAACACCACAGACTTAGCAGAAACACTGGTTTCGAGGCTGATTACACACCCTGCTGCCTGCTAACCCACATTTGCCCACTTCATTTTAAGTGGTCTCCTGCGGCACGAGTGCACCACTTGTGCTTAACAGTCTGTCCCACCTTGTGTTTAGCTCAGACACTCTGAAGAAGACCCTGTGGAGGTCAAAAGCATGTCCCTTCTACCAGGAGAAGTTGGTCCAGTAAAAGATATCACCTCACCCACCGTGTCTCGCTCGCATCCTGGGACTGACACGGCTGCAGCAACGCTGCCGACAACACATACAGGTGGATAATCTGGGTTCCCCACGACCCTGCAGCCTTAGAGTTCGCTTCGCGTGGCTTCTTGGGCCAGTTAAGCTCAGTCGCGCCTGGGGAGCAAAGAGGAAGCAGGGCTCTAACCCAGGGAGGAATATTCTTGGGCAATGTTGGGCATCACACACCAGCACCAGGCCTCTGCTAGGGCTGCCCCACCTCTGTGTCCTGGGCTGGGACCTCCTGGAGTTCATGTGAACCCAAGGAGAGCCCACGCCCCCAGCCCCCCAGCCTAGAGGAGAGCCAACAGGGGAGCAGGCAACTCGGCCACACGGCAGCTCCTGGCTCTCTACTGCCCACTGTGATGA